CTCTCTTATGGAGGTTCAGTTCCCAACACCTAGCAAACAACTACCTATAACTCTAGTTCCAGGGGATCCAATGCCCTCTTTCAGCCTCTGGGGCTACCAGGTATGCATGTGGGGCATACATGCAGGCAAATGCTCATACTCATCAAATAAAAATAAACATTTTATTTAAGATAAGGGTTTTACACAAAGAAGTAATTTTCAGTGCTGGATTCAAGGGCTAAACCACTGGACAGAGCTGCCAAGAATAGGCCTAAATGCTACAAACCCCTGTGGTTCAAAACAAGGCTTAATTATGCATAGGATGCGGACACTACTAGAGAGTAAGTGGTACAAGAAAAGTGGGCTGTACCTTTGGTTGGATACTGCCTCATATGAGCCAACATGAAGTTACATAAAAGGTACTCTAATACTAAGCTACATTAATAGGGCTATGTACAAGTCAAAGAGCGCTCTAACAACTTCAGTGTACAAGTGGACAGATTTCAAATTTTAGAACATAGATACTCCAGGGGAGAGAACTAGAGATATCCAGGAAACACATTTGTCTTCGAATGGAAGACAAGCTTTACAGAAAGAAGGGTGGGCTCTTTTCTTATGTGCATGAGTGTTTTGTCTGTGTGTGTGCAATGCCCACGGAGGACAGAGGAGGGCATCAGGTCCCCTAAAGCTGCAGTTACAGATGACTGTTACCCAACATATGGATGCCAGGAACCAAACCTGTATCCTCTACAAGAGCACCCAGTGCTCTTAATTGCTGAACCATCTCTCCAGCCCCATAAGTGGATTTTTAAAAAATATTTTATTTATTAGTTTTACTTTATGTGTATAAGTGTATTGCCTGCATGTAATGTAAGTGCATCCCTGTTGTATAATGCCCACAGAGGTCAGAAGAGGCATCGGATCCCCCAGAACTGGAGTTACAGATGATTGTTAGCCACTGTGTGGGTGCTGGGAATTGAACCCAGGTCCTCAGTACAAGCAGTCAGTGCTCTTAACCACTAAGCCATCTCTCCAGCCCCAAGAGTGGACTTTTAAACACGGCTTCAGAAACCAAAACTAGGATAGAGTTAGACCAAAGTCACTGAATAGCTGACTTGGAAATTCAGGAATCAGGTCAAATACAAAGGTCTTAAGACTATAAAAATAATTATCGCAAAACTAGTTTTGAAGCACGGTGTGGTGGCACACTCCTTTAATCCCAGCACTCAGGAGGCAGAGGCAGGAGGATCTCTGTGAGATCCACAGCAGCCTGGTCTACAGAGTGAGTTCAGGCTATCTAGGGCTACAGGGAGACCCTGTCTCAAAAAAGACAGAAAAAGAAAAAGAAACTAGTTTTGAAGTCATAGTATTGAATGCTTCACACAAAGGAAGTGTGTCCTACTTCTTAGTATGCACACAATACTGTAAGCACATGCTTGAATTATGTGTCTGCCACACTAGAACATAATTTCCTCTTAGAATTCTAAAAGGAAAGGAAGGTGGATGTGTTTATAGCCCAACAGTCTACTTTAGAATGGAGCACACCTAGTATGTAACAAATGTCATTGAGTCAACAGGTAAATGAGGCAACTTACTTTTAAGAACCATTTCATTAAGAAAAGTGTTGGATGAAGTACCCTCAGGGCCTCTAAACCTCTCCAGTGACCCTAGTACAAAGTTTTCATGGGGTGGGGGTCAGTGTACGCTGAGGATGGTGTGTATGACATAATCTGCTTCATTAAGTGCTAAGAAGCATAGACTAACTTGATATGATATCCTTACTTGAAATACACTAACCAGTTTCTTTGCCAAACTAGAGAAGGCATAATTGTTGATATTTTATCATGAATCCGCAAACAAATGCATATGTATAATAAACTGAGGGTGTGGCAGTGGTAGAATGCCTGGCATATACCGGGCCATCAATTCCCAGCAGCAAAAACAAAAACAAAACACCATACAGAGAATACTCTAAAAAAAAAAAAAAAAAAAAAATCCTTAGAAACACATTAAACTGAGCAGAACGCTGTCGATTTACAGGAAAACAATTCAGTAACCCCAACTGCCTGAGGGAGGCACACAGAAACTACACACTAAGAACACTGGACAATAACACATTAGAAGTCATAATCACATCTGAACACTGAGCCAATTCTTCCTCATGGTCTACATAAAACTTTTTATCTTTATGACTTTACAAGAATTCTCCCACAAACATTTTTGGAAAGTAGAGCATTCCACCTCAACCAGCGGATTCGGCTCCCTGGCTTTCCAGCTGTAATCAACAGCACCAGGAGGAAGCAAGGCCAAAGGTGTATCCGCAGCGACTCTGATTCTCCATCATCTCAGCAAAAACAGAAAGTAGAGGCTGAGTGGCTGTGTCGGCACCTACTGTCTACACTGCAATAAACAACTTGGAATTCACAGAAACCCTGGAGGGGGTGGAACTACCAGGACCGGGCTCCTCCCGGGGTGGTCTTGCAGGAACTGCTGTGACAAGTTTCACAGAGGAGGGGCACATCCGTGTGACCTACGTAGGGACTTGGCTCTAACACCCACGGCAGGCTGTGAACGTCCTCCCGCAGGAAGAAGGAGCTTCACAACCTCCAAGGAACAACACCCACCGCCGACACACACTGGACACCGGGAGCACACGGGGGCACACATGGGGGCACACGGGAGCACACACGGGGCACACGGAGCATACGGGGGAACACACGGGGGCACACACGGGGCACACACACAGGGAGCACACACATGGGAACACACACGGGGCACGCACGGGAGCACACTGGGGGCACACACGGGGTCACACTCGGGGCACACACGGGCACACAGGGAGCACACACGGGGGTACACACGGGAGCACACACACGAGAGCACACACAAGAGAGCACACAGGAGAACACACACGGGGAGGACACACACTGGGAGCACACACGGGAGCACACAGGGAGCATGCATGTGGGAGCATAAAGGAGCACACACAGGAGCACACACAGGGAGGACACACGGGAGCACACGGGGGCACATGGAGCACACACAGGGACACACAGCACACACAGAGAGCACATGGGAGCACACATGGGAGCACACACACAGAGCACACACATGGGAGCACACACAGGGAGCACACACAGGAGCACACAGGGAGTACACATGGGGACACACACGGGAGCACACACATAGGGGGACACATATAGGAGCACACAAGGGAGCACACACGAGAGCACACAAGAGAGCACAAACGGGGAGCACACAGGGAGGACATATGGGGGCACACATGGGAGCACACACGAGAGCACACACGGGGAGGACACACGGGGCACACAGGGAGCACACATGGGGAGCACACACGGGGAGGACACACGGGGCACACAGGGAGGAAACATGGGGAGCACACACAGGGAGCACACAGGGGAGCACACAAGGGAGCACACACAGGAAGCACACACGGGGAGCACACAGGGGAGCACACAGGGAGCACACACGGGAAGCACACAGGGAGCACACAGGGGAGCACACACGGGGAGCACACAGGGAGCACACATGGGGAGGACACACACGGGAGCACACACACGGGAGCACACATGGGGAGCACACATGGGGAGAACACACACAGGAGCACACACAGGGAGCACACACGGGGAGGACACACACGGGAGCACACACATGGGAGCACACATGGGGAGCACACAGGGAGCACACACAGGGAGCACACACGGGTAGGACACACACGGGAGCACACACAGGGAGGACACACACGGGAGCACACATGGGGAACACACAGGGAGCACACACGGGGAGGACACACATGGGAGCACACACAGGGAGCACACATGGGGAGGACACACACGGGAGCACACACAGGGAGCACACAGGGGAGCACACAGGGGAGCACACATGGGGAGCACACGGGGAGCACACGGGGAGCACACAGGGGAGCACACACGGGAAGCACACAGGGGAGCACACATGGGAAGCACACAGGGGAGCACACACGGGGAGCACACAAGGGAGCACACACGGGAAGCACACAGGGGAGCACACACGGGGAGCAGACACGGAGAGCACACAGGGAGCACACAGGGGAGCAGACATGGGGAGCACACAGGGGAGCACACACGGGGAGCACACAGGGGAGCACACATGGGGAGCACACAGGGGAGCACACGGGGAGCACACGGGGAGCACACAGGGGAGCACACACGGGAAGCACACAGGGGAGCACACACGGGGAGCACACAGGGGAGCACACACGGGGAGCACACAGGGAGCACTCAGGGGAGCACACAGGGGAGCATACACGGGGAGCACACAGGGGAGCACACACGGGGAGCACACAGGAGAGCACACACGGGAGAGCACACACGGGGAGCACACAGGGGAGCACACAGGGAGCACACAGGGAGCACACAGGGGAGCACACAGGGGAGCACACAGGGAGCACACAGGGAGCACACAGGGAGCACACACAGGGGAGCACTCAGGGGAGCACACAGGGAGCACACACAGGGGAGCACTCAGGGAGCACACAGGGAGCACACAGGGGAGCACTCAGGGAGCACACACGGGGAGCACACAGGGGAGCACACAGTACACTGTGCATCTGCCCTGGTAGAACTTCATACAAGGGAGCTACTTAGATGCACACTGGTGTCGCAGGCTTCCGTGTGGTCCGCTGGGAAGAGTACTGACAGAAGCTAAGTCAGCAGCGGTCCCGCCCCCAGCCCGGAGCACCCGGCCCCGCCGAGCCCCTGCGCCTCAGTACCTTAACGTCTCGGTACCTCAGGGACTCGGTACCTCAGCGGCTCAATATCTCAGAGTATCAGCGCCTCAGTCCCTCGGCAACTCAGTACCTCAGCACCCAATACCTCAGCGCCTCAGTCCCTCGGCAACTCAGTACCTCAGCACCTCAACACCTCAGCGCCTCAGCGCCGACTCCGCGCAGGCCGGCGCCCGCCGCCTCCTCCCGCAGCGTCTCCTCCCGGCCCCGCGCCCTGCGCTCGGGGTCCGCTTACCTTCGATCGCCATGACGCGCTCGCCATGGACCGCGCCAGCGCACGGAGAGCGGGGCCGGGACGCGGCCGAGACCCGAGGGGCGGGCCGGC